TACCAATTTTGTAATACTATGAACTTTTGGTATGATACCATGAAACTGTTAATAAATTACATCACTTCATTTCAATAATCTATATTAAATATTAAAATTTAATAATCTTACCTCATTATCAATTTATTATGATGAATCGATTAATTTTGCAAAGTTTTATTTTATTCTTCTATATCAAATGAATTATTCATATGATATTTACATGAATTCAGGAATATATCACAGCGTGTTTTTTTAATTTTTCCGTTATATCGTATATCACTTTGAATTCTAATTTGAATATAAATATAAAATCAATTAGTGTTCGTGAAAAAATAAAGTTGCTCGATCGGTTCGGTACGACTTTCATTAGAAATATAGAAACGAGTTATTTCAGTTCAACATTTTAAACGACTGTTAGATTGAATACAAAATAATAAAAATAGAAGTAGAAATATATGTTACTTTCTTGTCGCTATTGCTATTGGTATTATATTAAAATGTGTTCTTATGTAATGTAATTGATATACAATCTATATTCTATATCAATGAAGTACAAAATTTATACCACTAATTACAAAAGTCATATTTTTTTTAAATCGTTTCGAATTCTCACAAAAGCATATTTATCGAAATTAATTTAGTCATCTGGCATTATCCATTAGAATTAATTATAAATTTATAAATAGGCTTAGATAACATTTTTCGTATTTTTCGGACAGTGAATGTTCCATCCAAATCTCAGAGGAGTATCTCTGAAGATTTACTTTCAAATATTGTTGTAAAAAATCGTAACTTTACTTGTTTTTAAGATATATGTGGTGGTCCTATACTTGTTGTATTATTATTTTGAAATTAATTATGTAAATGCATTAGTTGTAATTTTGTTAGTGCATTAGTTGTAATTTTGTAAAAAAAAATATTTATTGATTTAATTTTTTTTTTCCAGTACTGGTGAACTGTCAACATGCTGGTATATTTTGCTGTCAGGGTCCATTTTCATTGATGGGTCTATGTTCCTGCCTCGATCAAGGTAAGTTTTTTTTTAATATTATTGAAAATATTAATATTTATTATTGTGATACTATAAATTTTTAATATCAAATAAAATCTGGTCTAATGACACTAATAATATTAACTACGGAGATTAAATGGGTTTTTATTGTTCTGTGTTATGATGATTCGAGTCTGTTATTGGATTTTTTGAGGATATAAAAGGTAATACTAAAATTTTACTATTGCAGAGAGTTATTACTTTTACTTTTATGTAAACTATTAATATTATTTTGAATTTTGGAAAAATCAGAAAAATATATGAATAAATTTACATAAAAATAGGGCTAAAATATATAAAGATTTTTTTTTCAACAAGTTAAGTTCAAAATTGAATTATTAAAAAAAAACGTTTATGGAAAAATTAGACTTGTATGCCTGTGTGTACATTGATAGTTAATTTTGATATAATAGTTAATTGGTTTGATAAAAATAGTAAATTTTGATTTTGAATCTGGGAAGACCTTATGCCTCAAATAAAAAATAAATATAATTTTATATCATTATCAGTGGATATGGAAAATTGGATAATAAACATCAGTGCATATGAAATACGTTAATAAAAATGAATATTATAGGCACTAGAACATATGACAAACATTTACAGTAATTTTAGATAAATTAACGATTGTCGTTGTATTGAATTTTAACAACCTTTTGAGAATACAGAAAATTCAATTGACCCATCCGAAGCAAAATCAGTCCTAAGTTTGTATCTCTCCCAAGTCAATATTGAAGTCAATAAAATTTAACTTTACAAAATGTTATTACTTTTACTTCTATTATAAACGATTGAAAGTACCAATGGCCCCATCTTTGTTAACAATTGAAAGAAATTAAATCATAAGATCAAGTATGTGTCATACTCGTATTACAAATGTATGAACTTTGATGCACTCTTACAAGTGTATTTTAGTGATGTTGAAACTTAAAGAAATGAGAATATAGGAAATTTTAGTTTTGGATTCTATAATCATATTAAAAATATATTAGCTCTAGTATTGATATATAACCTATATAGCGAAAGAAATAAATGAAATAGTATCAACTGATGCAACTGACGTTATCAGGAATAAGTTATTGTGATCGCCAAAAAATAGAAAATGAAAGTTTTTGCTTTTTGGAATACTTCAGGAAAAATGGAAGCACGTATGTGTGTTTTTTTGTATAGCGAAGGAAATGCATTTATGCATCCCAGACTGGTGTTTTGTCTGGGTATGTCGGACTCAATACCGCCTTGGTATAATACCGACTAAAACCTCCGCTTTGCCCTTGCCTCTAGTCCCCACGAAAACCGCCGTTAGGCATTACTTCGTGGGGGGAGGATCTAGAATGTTATAATTCTTAACTTATTTTATACTCATCTTTTAAATGCGCGAAGTCCCATTCGCCCTTTCTTTTTCCATAGAACGCAGGTCAATGTACATAAAGGTGTGTGCGTGAGTGTGTGTGCGTATGTATGGATACAATTTTTCGTCCACGTTTTCAGGAGCACGGATCTACCGATTTTAAATATTCAAAAAGAATTTGATACCTATTGATAAGGAGATGTGCTGATTAGTTTATGAAGCAAAGAGTGCAGAAAATGAACATGAATTTAGGGAGAACAGAGCATCCAATTTGAATGATTCAAAAAACATTCAATTCGTAATTATGAGAAAAATTGGTGATTAGTTTTTTGCAAAGACAAATCCAGCCGTTTTGGAGATAAGGAGATAAATGTGCAAAAAAATGTAGTTTTTGAAATAACGAAGCATCCGATTTAAATGATTCAAAAAACATTTTACTTCTGTTGACAGTATGAAGAAACGATTAGTCTATGCGGATGGCAAACATTTTATATAATCCTATATTAATAAATAATATTATAAATTTAATTCCTAAAAAATTACTATATAATACTAATAAATTTAATTTCAAAAAAACTGGAATGGAAAATTACAGCAAGTTGCTTAAGGCACGACGCACCCGTAGTTTTACGATGAGATCATTGAAATTTTATGGGTCTATTTCTCATCACTAATATTTTTTATTCTTCTTATGATCAGGCAATTAAAATCATCAATTGAATATGTAGAGCGTCCATTTCTTAATCAATTTACATCAATTGCCAGTGATTATATACTTTACAGATTTATTTGATTTGCGAAAAATGTGTAGAAATATAATTACTAGATCGAAATATGGTACAGAAATAATTATATATATATATATATATATATATATATATATATATATCGACTCATACGTCAAATGTTCATGTTTCAGTCCAATTTACGTAATTAATTATTGAGAAATGTTTTGCTTATAATTGATCAACTGCTATTGTTTTCTAATTGTGATCGTAATTATAATTTTTTATTGTCAAAATGCGCAACACTATCGATGTCGATAATTTTTGTTCCTTGCTATGTTTGCTAATTTTTAATCACTTAAAATCTAAAATAATTTATAGAACATATGACATATTTCTAAAAAAGATGGATGCTTTCGGAATAAACCATATATTGGATATTATAGAAACAATTCATTAATTTATTATTGTAATTTCTTTCTTATCAGCTGAAGGTTTACTCAGCGTTTCAATTTTATTAACTTGTCGTAGGGTAGGTTATAGTAATCGTCCAATAATCGAAAATAAATTTTTTTACATATCTTTGCGTTTTAGAAGTTTCTGAACATTTTGGCATACCTTAGAAAAAAATAGTGTGTACATGGGTGTGTGCGTATTTATTTATTTATAGATACAATTTCGCACGGATCAACCGATTTGAATGATTCAAAAAGCATTCGATTCCTATTGATGCAGAGACGGGCTCGTGCTGATTAGTTTTTGGCAAAAGTCAAGTCGTTTCAGATATACGAGCAAAAAGTGAAGAAAATGAAAATTCGGTTTTTGCAAGAACGGGGCATCCGATTAGAATAATTTAATAGATATTACTTTTGTATTGGCGGGGAGACATGCTGATTAATTATGTACGGGGCAAAAAGTGTAAATATTAGCAATTTTTGACAGAACCGAGCATCCGATTAGATTGACTCCAAAACCACAAGTTACGCGTTGCATTGCCTAATTTTGTGTTGCAAATTTTAAGTTTTTCAATTAGAAGTTTTACTATAATTACGCATTAAGTACTACAGTTTTATATCTAATATAGTAAAAAATGAAAAATAGTATGTCTATTGACACATTACCCTAATTGTGATAAATAGTGAGATTACGATCGCCAAAATTTTTTGATATGATAAAAAAAATTGACATTTTTTCATCTTATTCACACCATGAATTTATCAACACTCGTTGTGCAAGATGTACCGATGAAAAAATCAATACAGTACATTTATTTGATTTTACTGAACGTTTTATAAATATAAATTATTTCATCATATCACAAATATGACGCATTTTGTAAGTTTATTCAAATTAATTTACGTACATATATCGTAATACTTTGTAAACACAATGATTTAAATAATTACCTAATTAAATTTCCATATTGACCAAAATTTCAAGATCATTTTAGGAACGTTGTTATGATGCATTTTTTTGTAAATTTACTTTAATAAATCATTTGTTAAAAATTGTTTAAAATGTCAAGAAAGAAGTTTAATAGGTATCAAGCGCCAAACTTGTTTTTATATTTTTACCAAAATATATTTATATACCAAATAACCTTTAATAAAATAACAAACATACCAAATGAGCTGTAACTTCTATTCAATAAATAAGTCCATAATTATATTGTATATGTTCCAATCAATTTGAATAATATTCTGAGTTTATGAGTAAATCGTGGTCCAGAATAATTTATCCAAGCATTTACTCACTTCCTAGATAAAATCCAATTTTATAGTAGATTTTGAAGTATTCAGGAGATTCAAAATAGTGTATAAACTATAGATAATATAATTTATAACTTAGCTAGAGTCTGTGTTTTATTCAGAATCACATAAAAGTTACTGGAGGAAGAATGTATTTTTTATAGGTTCTTAAATATTATCCACATTTATTTTCTATTTTTTATTCCTGTTGATCTATTTCGGAATTTTTTCAGGACCTTTTTCGCATTTATCTTCCCATTCTAATTTTGTCACTGCAATATTTTGGCGCAATTTTCTCAACTGTTTGTAGTTACATGGGACAGTACAATCGGTAATATTAAGGCCTCTGACTGGTGCATATAAACTTTCTGATGTGTACACCTGTATTGGAACAAACCACAAATTTAATGAAAATATTTTGGTTACATTTATATTTATACCTTGAAAATTAATCCAAAAACAAACTTGGGTTTATTATTTGTAACACAAGTGAAGTGATTAAATGAGGTATTAAAAATATACTATTATATATATATATAAAATATAATATATATATTATATATATATAAAATATATATTAATAATACTATTGTAGATACTTTTTTCTTAACATCCAGTGTGTTAGTCCAGTCATTATAGTAAGTTCACCTTGGAATTCGAGATACCCAACTGTAAGTCTGTAAATACTTGTATATTGACACCCTAAAGTTGTCTCAAAACCTACATATGGTATTGATATCTTACCATATGTAGGTTTTGAGACAACTTTAGGGTGTCAATATACAAATATTTACAGACTTACAGCTGGGTATTTCGAATTCCGAGATTCCTCCCTAATTTAAGCAAATGACTGGACTATGTTGCTTGAAAAACTATATTAAATGGAGCTGATATTCTATTCTTGTGGTTTTTGGAGTCAACTATTAAAATAATTTAATGATCTGAATCAATTACAATTCAAACCAAGTTTTTTGCGTTGCTTTCAAAATTAATTTATTATTACCTTTAACCAGAAGTCTTCTTCGTCGGCTACTTGATGGGCTTCTATGACCACAAAACCGCCTGATGGTGGGAAGAAATGGTGAATAATTTCCTTTCCTGAGGTAAATCCTTTCTCACCACCCAAAGCGGCAAAGAAGGGCGATATGTTTGCATCATAAGCAACGTGTACCATCATTCTTGTATCGCATGGTTCCAATTTGTGGTTCAATTTATCGTCCAATGTGTCTAAGAAGTACCTCAGCGTTCGACCTAAAATAAACAGGAAAGGGATAAACGTTGAGTAAATTCATTAAGGAAAAAGTAAATTAGCAATCAAAATTTATGTGGTTATTTTCTCATGTTATATCGATTATATCTATAATTATAATGCTCTATTTTGATTTTAACCCTACAAGGCACCTAGTTTCAAATGTGGTACACCAACATCCAGGGTTCTTATAGCCATAAAACTATGATTAGCGGCATGTCTTGGCATCTTTATAGATGCTACGGATATTTAGCAATGTAGTAATACAAATATTCACCAAAGGATTTATTTTTATTTTTATAGGTTTTCCTCGCTACTTCTGATTACCAGTTACATACAATATATATTTGTCACAAGTTTTAAAAAAAATGAACCTTGTAGGGTTAACTCTTTTCCCTCGCGCGTTGCAAAATTTGTATGTATTTTGTCGCCGGAGCGGCGGCATCCGAGCGGAAAGGGTTAAATTTTCCCTATTTTGATTTTAAATCGATTCAAATATTTCTGACTTGTTCATTGAGCATGTACCAATAAATAGTTTAAAGTGGTACAATTTATCTTCCAAGTAGTACTTCAGTATTCGACTAAAAATAAACAGGAAAATTGGGGAAGAATTTTGACTAGATTCATTAGGGAAAAAGTAAATTAGCAATTAATATTTATATGGTTATTTTCTCATGTTATATCGATCATATCTATATTATCATGTCCTATTTTGATTTTAACCCTTACCACTCGCGCATTGCAAAATTTGTATGTATTTTGTCGCCGGGGCGGCGGCATACGGGTAGAAAGGGTTAAATTTTCTCTATTTTGATTCGAAATTAAGTTAAATATTTCTGATTTGTTCATTGAGCGTGTACGTATTCGACCAAAAATAAACTGGAAAATTGGGGAAAAATTTTGACTAGATTTATTAAAAAAAAGTAAATTAGCAATCAATATTTATGTTGTACTTTTCTCATATTATATCGATTATATCTATATTATTTTGCCCTAGTTTAATTTGAAATTTGCCCTATCTTAATCAGAAATCGATTCAAAAATTTCTGACTCGCTTATTGAGCATATTCGAATAAATTGAATCGTTAGCAAAAATCTGGATATTTTCAGGTTTTTGTTTTTTACTGATATTTTTTTGTATGAAAGAAACAAGCAATTTTAATTAAATACGCGAACTTTTAATGGAACTTTTTAAAGCTATTTAGTACGATATTTGAGAAAAGGATTTTCAAATTGGATCCATTTGGACAATCTTAACCTTGTCGTTTAACAAATAGTTTTATTTCTAGAGACCTTGAGAAAATTGTGTCATTATTTTTTACTGTGGTCCTAGAAATGTTATTAAAAGTATGAATACATGATGAAAATTTAAATGAACAAAAAGAATAAAAATAACCACACAATAACCGAAAAGGTAAGGCCAGTTTGACTGAAGCCATGGGATGTATTTTTAAACTGCATGGGATATTTTAAAAAAAAATTATAATAGTTACAATCAATACTGCTACTCATAACTAACATATAAATTATAATAATAATTTGTATTATAAAATAATTATATTATTTTACTAACCTCCAGTAATTGTTTTAAGGTAATCAGTTGAAAAGGATATATTGACAAATTGATGCATCACTTTATAAAAACCGTCGGATATCTTTTCAGTATACCACTTGGGCAATTTGAAACCACTATAATACTAAATTTAAAAAAAAAAACATAATTACCTATTTAATGAAATATTTTTAAAAAAATTGATTAATTAGTAAAAAACTTACAGTTGTTTCGTATAATTCATATAACGCATGTAAAATTTTCAAATAATTGTAATCCACTCTGGCTTCAGTGTGTTTTTTCAATGCTTTGAATACTTTTTGGAATTCTCTCTCCGATTTAAATAATGGCACCAATTTTTCTATTAATGATATATTTTGGGTCGGATAATAACTTTTGCAAGATCTGAAAAATCCTGATGCCTATAAAGGTACATAAAATAAAATAAATATATTGTTGTTTATATTGCTTTAATATGAACTTACAGCATCAGTAAATTCGTGGTTATGAGTAGTAGCCAATCTTCTGGTCGACCAATGTCTCTTCAAAGCCTTCTTCTTATTCTATCAAAGCAAAAATATTTTTTTGACAATTTATATTATAATTTACTTATAAATTAATTGTTTTGAAACGATTTTCAATATATGTTATACTTGCCCTTCCTCGAAGTCCTTCTCTCAAAATTAGTGCACTTTCACGTGTTACTATTGTATATTCGTTACCAGCTGCAGTAACTTTAGTTAAATGTTTAGTAACATATGGTCTTTCTAAAAATTGAGGATATAATTTTCTTAGTTTATCGCCAATTTCATACATAGTGTCTTTTCCCATCTGAAAATAAACAAATTGCCTAATTAACCAAAATCTATTAGTACCTGAGATTCTATTTCAGACATAGTGAAACCTAGTTGCTAAATAAATCAGGTTTAACTAATACCAGATATATTTTAGTCGTCAAAATTTTATAATAATTATGAAAATTAGTTTTTCAGAATTGAATGAACAATATTTAAATTTACGATTTTAGATTTTTGTAAATTTATAATTGTTTTCCAATATTTTTCATTATTTTTACAGAACTGTGAACGATGATAGAAAATCGCAAATAAAACCAATTAATAACTCCTTATAGTTCTTGTATAGTTTTATTCGTTTTTATTAAAAATTTATTTTAATAATTTTTGTTTAATAACATAATACTTTAATTATATGTAGTTAGATTATATAATTATGAAATAGTTAATAAATAAGATAAATAACAAAAAAATGAGTTTTTGATTAGAGGTAAACTGTACCAAGTGTGTTCCTACGTTTATTTTTATATTTTAAGATTTTTTTAAATTATTTAAAATATTTTGTTTTAACGTTCAAAATAGTTTACCAAGAAAAAAATAAATTGTTGATATATTACATGAATCTCTGATATATGTAATGCTGGTTGGTTAAAATTATCTCTTGAAATGTACTTTATTTTAAACAATTTTACAAATATACCCAATTTTTTACAAAAATGTTAACGTCGCGTAGTTATTATATGAACATTCGATGATAGGAAATATATATTTTAATGATTACTAAAGCTTTTCATCGAATCCTTTAAAATTTTATAATTGTAATAAAAAAAAGAATCAATATATTTTCTATAGATACTATAAATATTTTCTTATTACCTTATTTAGTTCTCCAACTGGAAATTTGTACTTTTTATATTCGTATGATGGATTAGCATCCATCATGTATTTATCTGGGAATTGTTCTCCATGTCTTACTATCTAAAATATAATTTGAGTTTAATATATTATCAATTTCAATTTATTTTATATTATATATGCAGTATTTATACGCGAATATGTATTCATTAATTATTATTTATCCATTAATTGATTTTGTTTTGTTAAACTATGTGGTCATCGAAATTACAAATTACTTGATGACAATTTAATCACATACCAATTTATAATTTTGTTTTAATTAATTCTAGTACATTGTTTAAAGCCATATTTCAGTAATATGGAAATATATATATATATATATATATATATATATATATATATATATATATATATATATGATTTAGTAGTTAATTTTGATGTTGAAATATATGAGTGTTCCGCCCTCAAGAACTCACTCATATATATATATATATATATATATATATATATATATATATATATATATATATATAATATATATGTATATATATATATATAGATTTTTCGACTTTGAATCATATTTGAATGTTTTAACAGCTCATTCGTAAAAAAATAAGTTAAGAAAAAATAATTTTCTTCATTATACGTTTCGACACTTAATGTGTGTCATAATTCAGTAATCATCTTAATACATTTTTTTCGGATTTTAAAACAAAACCATAATTATTAGAAAAAAGAGAATTATATTATTTAAATTCATAATGGAGCAAAAAATCATACTACTCCGTAAAAGTGACAGAACCAATCAATATAAAAACATTCATTGTTTTTTTAATAAAAATTTACGTTTAATCTTTTATAGAAATAATTCGGAGATATGGGGTGGCCACTTCTTCAGGGATTTTTATAATAAACTATTTTTGTAGATATGTTTTTAGATAAGTTTATTTCTTTTACTTAAATGTTTTCTTTTTTTTATAAAAAAATAGATTTATTTTTATATCATTACTTTTACGCTTCGATGAAATGACATCCCCTTCAGGAAATATTTAAAATAAACAATTTTTTTATCTATTTATACATTTTTAAGTCGTTTATCTTTAATATTTATATGATTTTTCAATATGTATAATTTTGGCTAATTGTACTTAACAAAGTCTATTTTTAATCTTAATTATTGCTTTTTTTTATTTTGCATTTTAATAGTGTTATATAACATATATAACATAATAGTGAAATGTGAAAATCAATTTAAAATTGAAATTTGCAAAATATGGATTTAATTAGGTCAGAACTCGCCCTGAATATAGACACTTCTCATATGTTTGATAGATTCATTTTTTACACCAAGGTACATGAGTCTATGTTTATATACTATTATATAATATATCACTTATATTATTATTTTTTATACCATATTCTTACCACAAAAACAAATTTCAAAGTTTTATTGTCGACCAAGTCCGATAATTTCACTTTAGGGACAAATTGCTCGACTGCACTTACTTCCGCTCGCGATAGAGGTAAAAATATGGAAAAAATCACAAATATATATATCAAAGAACTCATACTGTATATTTGGCACTAAATCAACGTATTAAGATAAATTGATTAGATGTGCATTTATATAATTTATTAATTACACAATCTGTTAAGTACACAATTTATTTATTGATTTGCGCATTTCGTAAGGTCGTTCATTGCGATACGTAGAAGTTGAGGAAAATCATATGCGTCAGTTCATAAACGTTCGGAAAGATGATGTCACAATAATTAACAAAAATATGTTATAATCGTTATTAAATTCTGTCATTTTAATAGATGCATATTCCATTTTGACCGTCTTAGGAACCACGAAAATGTTGTAGTCATTTCCATCGCTGAATCTTCGAATATCAGGAGAAAATTGAAGAAAAAACAACTCATTGATTTACTATAAGTAATTAGAGATTTCATTGGAGAGTTTCTAGATAATGTTGGTGGTGGTACCTACTAAAATTGTTCAAAACATCTAATAATATTCTACCATTTTACGGATAACAATCAAGTACTACTTTTATTTTTGAATGCCACTAAAATATAAATGCATAAATACACTAGAATTACTTCCATTGATATTTAGGTGATGCCGTGTTTTTGCGCCTATAACAACAAAGGGTTGCTCCCGCCGTGTCCGTGTGCGTCACAGGTGAGTCTTGGCGCGAGATCCTGCACATGTGTGCCCCCCCCCCGCCCCTTTCACTTGTATTTTGAAATAAAAAGATTTATATTCGCTTAAATAATACGTGTTAAATAGAGTGTCCGGATTTAGGTGCCGTCCGGCGTTACGGGACTTCCCCCTATAGCTATAGAGTTCAGTGTCTAAACGAGCTTTCTAAAATATCATAGGCCTCGGACAAATAGTTAAATTATAAAAATTCTATATTTGGCATAATGATCCGTCCATACGCCATGTGTACTGATCACCGTTGATGTCCACACTTAAATGAAATAATTTTGTAAAACACGAAATAGCTTGCAATGTGTTAAATATATTAATTTAAATTAATACAATTACAGAAATTATGAACTTTTTTAAAAGGTATCACTTGGAAATCGCATTGATTACTTTTTAGTGACAATGTAAATTTTATTTTTGAAATATAAAATTGGAAATGTTGTTGTCTATCTCATTGATTAGGTCTATTATAAACACATATATCAGAAAATTGCTAAAATGCCACTAAGATCTAGTCAACATATGTTTTAAAAACGTTCTAATAAATATTCAAGCGGTCGATAACGTCTATTTGTATATATTTGAAAAGTTTATAAACATTTGAATACCATGCTAATTTTTTATATACATATATATATATATATATATATATATATATATATACAAAGTGTGTGTGTATTTGTATATTATATTATATTATGCATGTGCATGCATTCTATGACGGCTGGGAATTGTATTTAGTCTAGTGAGTATTTACTATAAAATTGCTAACACTTATTTATCCTTGGAACATATCATATTACTGACATGTTTTGCATACACATAAGTACGTTGACCATACACATTTCACCTTCAAATTGCATAAAGTTTTTAAATAATTAAAATCTATTTTTATTTCTTGTCTTAGACGCATATGTTGGATTATTGTAATAGAATACTTATGGTTAATGACCTGATTAGGTAAAATGCAACTAACCTTGTTTTAATATGATTAAAGTTTGTCGACCTATTATATAAGTCTATGATGGTAATAAGAAATATTAAGAGATGGGTTTGTAAAGTTTTATGATATTTTTAACTTCCCGTAGGGTAAGTTATAGTAATCGCAAAAAAATCGAAAATGAAAATTTGTATATATCTTTACGTTTTAAAGGTTTCTGAATATTTTGACATACCTTAGAAAAAAAGGATGTATGTATGTGTGTGTATTTGTTTATGTGTGTATATATGTATATGTGTATGTGTGCGGATACAAATTTTTGTCGACGATTTTGCGAACACCCATCAACCGATTTGAATAATTCAAAAAACATTCGATTTGTATTGACAAGGAGACGTGCTGATTAGTTTTTGGCCAAGGCAGGTCTAGCCGTTTCGAAGATACGGAGCAAAAAGTGCAAAAAGTAGCAGGTTCTGAGAGAACAAATCGGCCGATCCGAATGATTCAAAAAACATTCGATTCGTATTGATGTGGATACGTACTGATTAGTTTTTATTTTAGGCAGGTCCAGCCGTTTTGAAGACACGGAGCAAAAAGTGCAGAAATTCCGATTGGGTTCTAGATATCTGCTTATAGCGTTGCGCGTGATCATGTCGTTATAGCTGAGTTGGTTGGCGCGTTTTTTTTTAATACATTTATGTTTGGATAGTTGATACTACATGAACTATTTAAAATTGTTAACTCAAAGCATATCTTTAGCGAACGGAAAATTACGGTACGATAGTGACAGTCGTCATAACAGCTAAACTATACTGATATTGAGATAGGGTGTAAAGAAAGAAAGATGAAGTATGTTTGTTCGAACAAGATTCCATTCTAGCATTGCGTCAGCGCCTTACATTATCACCATCTGTAGACCAATTTGATTTAAAGAGTAAGTTTTTTTGTTTGATTTTTTTAATAATAATTCTTACCTACTTGTATATAAACAGATTACTTTCTTTATTCTTGTGCAATAAGTTGAGCATTAATAGTTAATTACCAGCAATTAGTTTTTGCGTAAATGATTTAGCTCGATGATAACGATGATTTGTCTCCAAAAGTGGGCATTGGGTACGGTTGTGACATGTTTCTTACGCCTTTTTTGGTTGAAAAGCTGAATAAGTAAAGAAAATTCTAACTAAACTAAGACAAAATACGAAAGAGAAAAGGAAAGGAAAAAGCAATACAAGAAAAGAAAAATTATGTCTGGTTTGTGGATGCTCATATTATGAAAGTAGGGGTGGCGTAAAATAGATCAAGTACCAAGGAACATACAGTTTCTGGTTCCACGTAAAATGGCAGTTGATAGTCACTATTACATTTGTCACCATTTTAATGACAATTCTGACTATCAGAAGATGTCAATATAATGATTTTTAGTTACTGTAATATTTTGATTAATTAGTTACTATTAGTTAAAATTTTGACTGAATTTAGAGAAGAAATTAATAAAAGCACTACTCGTATCGGTCTAATTAATAATTTTAATTTTGAGAAAAATGATCGCATAGTTTGATTTATAATATTTCTTGTTTAAAAAAAATGTATTGTTCTATTTTATTCATGAGCTTTGTGATTGTTTAAATGGTTATGTTGTTTACATATTTCAAAAAATAAAAGTCGTTGAAAAACATTTTGTTGATTATGGCTGTCACAACCGTTCTGAGGGTGTTGATGTTGAAGTTGATGAATTATATCAAAAATATATGCAGTTACCAGTGCCTTAGCACTGTCCCAAACTTTATACAAAACCAGCACTTTCTAATACATTTTATAATTTTCTCGGGCTCTATATCCGCATGATTTTTATGGTTTCGGATAAATTGTATGAGGCAATAAAATGTTTTATTATCGCAAAGTAGAATAACATAAATATATAAATAGAAAAAAATATTACCAAATCAAATCTAAACTTCCAATCGCCTTGATGTCGTTAATCTTGAAATATGGTTATTTTCGAAAGCATATTAAATAAACTGGTTCTAACGCGATGGTGGTACTTAAATGACGATTGATGATATGGCACGGTCTCGGATATTTTTTTATATTCATTTTGTAATCCGTTAAAAGTAATAGTATTCCGTACTTCCTAAATGAAATATAAATTGGAAAATTTTAAGTAGAATTTAGAATCAGAATCGGGTGTTGCTCCAGGAAGGAACGATTCGGGTGGAACAAATTTTTGTATGCGGGGGTAGAAATTTAATTATAATTAATGAAGAAATGATGATATACTGTGTTTTTGGTAAATGTAATATAATAAACAGCGTATTTAAGAATATTTTATTTAAATTTAAATGTGTTTTTTAAACATTGTTTTTTCTGCATAAATTTTTACATAAGTTCAAATCAGATAAACTCTGTTGTCCTGCTAGTAACAAACTTGGGAAAAAAATTATAAGAAATAATCATGTAAGAAATATTATGTAAAATTCTAAATATTTTATCATGCAAGTATTATTAAAACTTACCACGATTTTGTGATCAATCATTTTTACCAATTTTTATTTACTAAATAGTATAAGAAGATTTTTAGCATACATTACTTGCAAAAAATTATCTATAAAAGTCAACCAGTCTATTGTTTTCTTAGCGATCGTGGCAAAATAATATTTATAATTATATAATATCATAAATAAATAACTTGCAAAACTTTTGTTGTTCTGAAGTTAGCCTTTTCATTTTGGTCTGTATTTTTATAACTTTCTCATATCTTTTTACCATTTTTAAGGCGCATCACTTTTATAGTATTATTATATAGTAGTATATAATTAATGTATCATGGGGTTTCATTCATTTATGATTTACATTCAATAATTATATGTAGATGATTCTCATGGAAATGTTATATTAATATATTAATAGTTAAGCATCCATCCAAATGTTTCTTTTAATTCCAAATTTTCTACTATGTTGCAGGATGCATCGCCTCAACTAACGTCACTCGCTTTTTTATATTTTTGTGCACCAAAATTATTAAAGCTGCTATATATATATCTGTACATTACTAATATTACTTGACCACTGTGTATTCGTGCAGTATGCAACTTTTACCTGAGCTTAATAAATTTTATGGGTAGGCGCAGGCACGTGCTAAATCGCAAGACCGAAGGATTTTCGAATTTTGGAAAAACCATGAATACATTCTGAAACGTGTTTAGGTGACGATATGGCAGTAACGGTTTTGGACATATTTTGATTTTAATTTTAGAAATACAAATGTGTGATTTGACATATAAATAGGTCTAAAAAAATATTTAAATGGCCAATTTAATATATTTATTTTTAATGATTTATTTTAATTATTTAATTTTATTTTATTTATTATTTAATGATTTTGTCGTTTTAAAATGAATGAGTACTATTTCA